CATTGGGACGCCTTTGGGTAAGATTCGAACACTTGGTCATACCAAGTGCCTCCCTGGGAAACTTAGAAATCTCTGTAGAGTCACTTTACATCTTTTAACGCGTTTATAGCCAAGCAGTGTTACTCATACTTTTGGCATTTGCACGTGCTTTGTAGGCAGTGAATTTATCACTGGCAATCCAAAGAACCTGTGTATCTGTTGCTTCAATAGATCGCACTACTGATTGACTCAGCAGTGTGTGTGTTGTCCCTGAAGGCAACCGTATCTCTGAGTGCAGCTGTGTTAGTTCAGGAGGTGTCCGGCTGAGCAGGTAGTGTGATGTTAGTAGTGCATCCGGACCTGTGATAGTCCAACGAAGGTGTTGGGCGCAACCGGACTACTAACGCTAACTTTGGGCATCATTCAGAACCTAAGCTCAGCCGCCCCCAGTCCCTCTGATATCTGAGGATTGACTGGAAAGCAAGGGGGTTTAGTTTCTGCCAAATTACTCTGCCTCTTAACGCAACACTGCTGTAGAACACCTGACAAGGAAGAACTAGTAAATGAGGCCCTCTACAGACAGATAGGAACAGCGTTGTGTTTTCAGGCCCTGCAAACTCATGGGGGACTTCAACCACCCTGGTATCTGCAGAAGGGACAAACAGCAAGACATAAGCTGTCCAAGAGGTTCCTAGAGTGCATTGAAGATAACTTTATCCTCAAAGTGATTGAGAAACCAGCAAGGAGAGCTGTTCAACAGGTCCTTACACCCACCAACAAGGAGGGGTTTATTTGGGATATGAAGATAACAGGCAGCCCTGGCTGCAGTGACCATGAGATGTGAAATTCATGGTTCTGAGGGCAAGAAGGAAAGTGAAAAGCAAGCTCACAACCCTGGACTTCAGGAGAGCACACCATGGCCTCTTCAAAGATATGCTTGGAAGAGACTTGTGGGGTAAGGCCCAGGAGGGAAGACTGTGAGCAGTGCCTGAAGACTGGAGGAAAGCAAATGTCACTCCCATCTTCGAGAAGGGCAAGAAGGGAGACCCAGGGAACTACAAGGCTGATCACCTTGATCCCTGGGAAGGTGATGGAGCAGCTAATCCTGGAAACCATTTCCAGGCACATTACGGATGAGAAAATCATCAAGAGCAGTCAGCATATTTTCATCAAGGGGAAGACATGCTTGGCCAACTTGATATACTTCTGTGATGAAGTGACTGGCCTGCTAGATGAGGGGAGAGCAGTAGATATTGTCTACCTGGACTTGAGTAAGGCCTTTGACACTGTCTCCCATCAGATCCTCACAAAGAAGCGGTTAAGGTATGGTCTGGATGAGCAGACAGTGAAGTAAATTTAAAACTGGCTGAATGGCTGGGTTCAGAGGGTTATGGTCAGTGGTGCAAAGTCTAGCTGAAGGCCAGTGATTAGCGGTGTACCCCTTGGATCAATCCCGAGTCCTGTCCTGTTTAACGTCTTCATTAATGATCTGGATGATGGAACAGAGTGTGCCCTCAGAAAGTTTGCTGATGACACAAAATGGGGAGATGTGGCTGATAGACCAGAGAGTTGTGCTGTCATCCAACGAGATGTCAACAGGCTAGAGATTAGATAAATGCATTAGATAAATCATTGCCAGCAGGTCAAGGGAGGTGATCTTTTCCCGCTACTTGGCACTGGTTAGACCACATCTGGAGTACCATGTCCAGCTCTAGGGTCTCTTATAGAAGACAGATATAGACATACTTGTTGAGTGCCTGAGCCTGTCGCTTGTGCCAGAGACCAACGGAGACAACATCTGCCTGTGGTGCGACCAGGTGAGCGATCTGCTCAGTCTGGTGGCAGAGGTGAAAGAAGAAGTGGAGAGGCTGAGGAGGGGACCTAAGACAGAGGGAGAATGGAAACAGGTCCCTGCTCGGGGTGGCAGCAAATCCCCTCCTGGCCTCCCTTGCTATCCCAGCTGCCCTTACACAACAGGTATGGGGCTCTGGAACTTGAGGGTCAGGCACATGAGGACCCTGATGAAAGTCCATCCAGGGGCTTGTCTAGGGTGAGTCAGCGAGCCCCATGCATCAAGAAGCCCTCTGTTAAGAAAAAAAGGAGAGTAATTGTCATAGGCGACTCCCTTCTGAGGGGTACAGAGGGTCCAATATGCCGATTGGACCCAACCCACAGGGAAGTCTGCTGCCTCCCTGGGGCGTGAGTGAGAGATGTCACCAGGAAACTCCCTGGTCTGGTTCGGCCCACTGATTACTCAGTTTGGGAATGACGAGGTCGCGCAAAGAAGTCTAAAAGCAATTAAAAGGGACTTCAGAGCATTGGGGCGACTGCTTGATGGAGCAGGAGCACAGGTAGTGTTTTCATCAATCCCTTCAATGGCAGGGAGGAACGCTGAAAGGAATAGGAAAACACACCGAGTCAACATGTGGCTCAGGGGCTGGTGCTGTCAGCAGAATTTTGGGTTTTTTGATCATGGGGCTGTTTACAGGGCACTGGGCCTCCTGGCAGCAGATGGAATGCAACTGTCTCCAAAAGGCAAAAGGATTCTAGTGTACGAGTTGGCAGGGCTCATGGAGAGGGCGTTAAACTAGATTTGAAGGGGGAAGGGGATAAAACCAGGCTCACTAGAGATGAGGCTAGGGGTGGCACACCGGAGATGGGGATGAAATTGATAGCCCAATTGTCAACAGCTGGTTGACACCATCTGAATATGAACCAGAAGTGTGCCCAGGTGGCCAAGTAGGCTAACAGCATCCTGGCCTGTATCAGAAATAGTGTGGCTAGCAGGAGAAGGGAAGTGATTGTACCCCTGTACTTGGCACTGGTGAGGCCACATCTCGAATCTTGTGTTTGGTTTTGGGGCCCTCACTACCAGAAGGACGTTGAGGTGCTTGAGTGTGTACAGAGAAGGGCAGCAAAGCTGATGAGGGGTCTGGAGAACAAGTCTTGTAAGGAGTGGCTGTGGGAACTGGGGTTGTTCAGTCTGGAGAAGAGGAGGCTGAGGGGAG